CCGCGGCGTGGAGAATGAATACTGGTGCTGCTGCTGGTGCTGCTCCTGCTACTAGTACTGCAACTGCTGCTTCGACTACTGCTACTTCGACGACGACGACGACGACTACTACTACTACTACTCTGCTACTACTACTACTACTACTACTACTACTACTCTGCTACTACTTCTGCTACTACCACCGCTGCTACCACCACAGCTAGCATCATTATGGTTGGCTCTCGGTCCGAGACCAGCCGCCCCAAGGACTGCCAGAGCCGTGCGAAGGGCCACCTTTCTGGGGCAGGGCCCAACCTGGGTGCAGAGCACTCCATAAGAAAATCAATGTAACTCATATATCATGAACAGTCATAAAAAAAGTGATAAATGACAAATATTCATCAATAAACCGGGTGTCATCGGAATTTTGACAAGGCTTCTAGCGTTTTTACAGGCTATGCCGGGGGTTTAGGCTTTGTAGGGGGCTGTGTACGGCTTGCGGTTTCGCAGCGGCTCCCAGTGCGCCTGATCTCACGGCGTCGTCCCTCTATGCGATGAAAGCTTGTCATGCTGATTACTGATTACTGCACACGGACACACACGGACACACACACACACACACACACACACAAGCCCATCCAAAACCCAAAATCCTGACTCCCCCAAAGGCTACGGCACTTCATGCACAAATCTGGTCACACCCTGAGCTCAGCAAAAGCCCGCAAAATCCGGCCCGAACTCTCTGCATCTTGGCCCAGGACGCAGCCAGCAAGACCTGGGCTGGGTGGGCTTAGGGCTTAGGGTGCTCTGCAGAGACTAGCTAAAGATTGGTCTGACTTGTTATTTCTTAATGCTTCGGCATCTTTCTACTACGAACATATGCATTCATGTGAATGTATCCATCTATCCGTCTATCATCTATCTACATACACACTGCCTGCATCACGTTCTACCCGTGGTCCGGCTTCAATCCGGGAAGGCCCAAGGCCAGAGCCAGAGGGCCTTCTTGGGCTTTCGTGAACTTTACCCGGATCCTGACCTCCCGAACTGACTGGGCCGCAGGCTGTGCCCACGACGAAGCAGGAGACCCCCAGCGCCAGGAGCATGGGCGGGGTGTTCGGAGACAGCTGGCAAGGAAAGGGCGGTGGCTGTGGCGTCAAGGAAAGCAATGCTCACGGCTGCACACATACGGAGCGCCCGAAACAACTGTTGCATAGAATGTTGTTGCTCGCTGGAGCTTCGTGCGGCTATGATCATCAACTGGCATTTCTCCGTCTTGGCCTCAGTCTTAGTCATCCGTGTTGGCCGTAAAATCACTCATCCTAAATATTGCCACTGGACCACTGTCACAGGCAATATCATCACCCTTACCATCGTGACTTCTGCACTCTCATGCCCCCTCTCTCCCTGCTTGTTCCTCGCTTCTTCCTCTTACTGCCGCCTCCGCAGACTGCCCTCCTTTCTCCGGACAGTTTCAACCCCCTTTTCCCAAAACACGGAAGCCTTGGAGGTCTCCGCGTCCTCCTCAGCCACCAGCTGGAAGTCATCCTCAAGCGGCAACCTGAGTCTGAAGTGCTTGAAGGCTTTAGGGAGTCGGGGTGTTGGGGTGCTTGGAGTTCTAGGTGGTGGGTTCAGGGGATATTCAATCAGCTGCCGCAATTGCAAAGGCATCTTGTAAGCACACTCGGTTTAAACAGGGACTTGCGCCAAGACTATCTGCAAGCCTAAACCCTCAATGCCAGGTGAACAGAATGAAAGAAGACCGTAAGCCCCTAAACCCTCAGCTAGCTCAAAGACAAAGAGCCGTTCCGGCGCAGCCTCTAAGACCTCCGATGTGTTTTGCTGCAGCTCCTCCACAGGTGCTAGGTCTGGAGCCCTCTCTGAGCCTATTGGCACCCGGATGTTTCGACTTCTGACCCGCATGGGCGGAACGAGAGTGATAGGGACAAGGAAAAACGAATTCACCCTGGGCAAACATGCCCATTCCTACGGGGATGGATATCGGATGTGGGCCTTCTTTCCTCAGCTCGAGGCTGTGCACCCCATGACACCCTGGCCCTTGAAGAGGGAGAAGATCCGGATGTTGAATGAGGTGATGGCTTTGTTATCTTGGATAATGCTTTGCACAATTTAAACCGGAAACGAGGCAGATTGGCCTTGCTTCGACACTAATTGATGCTTTTTTCGTTAGTCCCTGTCTCTCCCTCTCCCACTCTGCCACTCTTTCTCTTTCTCGTTCCTTCTCCTTCTCTGTCTCGTTCTCTTCCTCCTTCTCTGTTTCTCTTTCTCTTTCTCGTTCTCCTTCTCTGCATCTCGAGATCTTTCTCTTTCTCTTCCGCAGGCCTGAGGCTTAAGAGACGAGGTGCAACCCCGTGCCCGCTCAAAACTCCCTCAAAGCTGCAAGTTTACACCCGCTCCGACTGACAGTACTTTTCAGGGTTGTTTGCACCCACCGCACTCACCTGACATGAAAGTACGCAAAGTCATACAAACTTCGCAGGTCCATCAGCAGGGCCGCAAAGGAGTCCAGGTAGGTCCGCGCCTGTCTGCTACTGCCCTAAACCCTAAACCCTAAACCCTAAACCCTAAACCCAGAGCCTCCAGAATGGCCTTTACCCAATCGAGCCGAAGGTTGTCAAGCCTCGTGCTGTTCCTGGGCGAGCTCTTGTGACAAGGGGCGGCCCTGCTCATCCACCTGCACCGCTCTGAAGCCAGAAAAACACAACCGTCTCGCTCGATCTATCTATCTATGTATCTACCTATCTATCTATCTATCTGTCTATCTATATATATATATATATATATATCGGAGCATGTAGATACATATTATATGCAGCTATGTATACATATATACACACATACGTACATGTATGAGCACATGCATGCATCCATATGCAGGCATGCAGACATGCAGGCATGCAGGCATGCAGGCATGCATACCTATGTAGATAATCGAATGCCCAACGGTCACTGAATATATACACACGGGTGTTTACATACGGTGTGTATATACGAAGAACTACCACTGCCACTGTATCTGCACGTGGGCAGTTCTCTAAATTAGGGTCCCTTTTTAGGGCCCCAATATAGTACGGCACTCCTATAAGAAGGACCCCAAAAGGGACCCTAATTTAGAGAACTACCCACATACCACGTGTGAAAATACAAGACGTGCCCGGAGCCACCAGAAGCTGTGAGGCGAGGCCCAGCAGCTCGGCGAGGAAATACTCCGAATCCTGAGCCCACAAGTGAAGGAAACTAGAGGTGGGGAGTTTAGGGTTTTTGTAGGGCTTCTATAAGGCTTCTATAAGGTAAGTATAGACCTTCTATAAGGCTCCTATAACGGTAAGATCTGACTCAGAGCTCGGAAGTTCGACGCGTAGCTTCGGGGTTCTAAGGGTAGGCTGGGCTACGGAAACGAGTTTCAGGGTCAAGGACTACGGCAGGTTGAGCTCTGGGAAACGCACAAACCTACCTCAACCGCAAACCCTAAGCCCCGAAAAAACGCAGTCTAACTCCCGCCCGAAGAAGCTCACCTGCAACGCGACATGTCCCGACTGAGACAAGCGTCGGGGAGGTCAAGGTCCAAGCGGACAGATTTTCCTGGGTTTAGGGTTTGGGGGTCTAGGGTTTAGGGCTGCAGGACAGCTTCAAACCCATGCTGCAGTGAGAACCCATGGACGTTTCGGAGAGGTCCTGAGGCTGCATTGTAGTAATCAACACCAAGCAAGTTCAGGTTGTCGTAGAGGCGGAAAGTGACCTGCAGGATCCCGACATTCCGGAAATCTTGGATCCCCCCTCGACCCACCTCGACAGAGCCCGTGCTGTTTACGAAAGCGAGCTTTCCCTCGATGGGCTCCTGCCACCGCAGGAAGAGGGCCGTGTGCTCCTGCCCAAGAAAACACTCAAGTCTCTCAAGGCGCTCGGGCTTTGGTACTTGTGATATTCGTGTTCATGATGGTGCCTGCATACTGCATGTAGGTCACATGCTGACATAGTGTTCTTGACGCGGTGATTTGTGTCCACACCTTATCAGACATCACGTGTGCGGCCTGTTCCTAGCAGTGACATAACGTGAAATGCCATAATTACCGCGAAACCATGTGACATGGAATACACTGCCCTGCCATGCGCTTCCAGAACACAGCTTGGCCGAGAACTCCATAATCCAATTGCATGACACGGAAACACACTGTGCGACAGGTTACTACGCAAAATGAAAGTACCAGCAAATGTCAGGACGACAGGCCAATGTGCCTTCTAGAATTCGTTGTCTTCAGGCCTGGCATCGCGTATAGTGGCAGCCGGTCCCACTTGCATCATGCCATCTTGGCTTGAACTTCCTCGTGCTATACTACTTTTCCCCAGAGGAGCCTGAAGGTGAGCAATGAGGAGGCGCCTTCTCGTTGCTACCTGCATAGTACATTCCCAAGACTTGAGCATGGAGCTTCTGCGGAATATCTCGACAATGTTTCTACCAGCGACGCTCGTGACTAGTGGCGGCTGCATCGAAGTAGTAGCACAAGCAAGACATGCACCGGCAGCAGCTGGTAGGCGTAGCACTAGCTGTCGTTGTCGCAGTCGTAGTAGATCGTAGTAGCAGCAGGAGAAGAAGTCCGAAGCTCCAGGCACTCGGATGCAGGAAGGTGCGATTCACTTCACAACTAGTCAGGGTTTTGCTCGAACTTCGGATCTGGTGGCACCAGTTCGAACGCACCTCGCTGTTCTCATGCAGCGGCAGCCAGCTCCGGTTGCTGACCTGAAGCCAAGGGATGCCCTGAAATCATGGACTTTAGGGTTTAGGGTAATATTCGTCGAATAGAAGAAAGAACGACTCGAGCGCGTCGGCCTGTGCTGAAAGTCGCGACAAATGACACGACAGAACAGCTGCGTCCTGATGAACACAACAGGTCAAGAAATGTCAAAGAAGCCTTCCATGTCCGGGAGACAACACAATCCCTGCGTGCTTTACCCCTGTCACTGGCAGCAGTTCCAGAGTGTCCAGACTGCTCGGAACGTGCAGTGAAGAGCGACATCTCATACACTGTCGATCCTACTTACTTGCACCATTCAGGAACAACATCGGTAGACCAGACCCCTACTCAGCGAAGACAGCCTTGCATGCTCGGCTCTAATGTTTGCCAAGCTATGCCATTCCTCCCGAGACCCTAAAACACTAAAACCTGAACCTGCCAAGCAACGAACTCCCAAAATCAACAAAATAACCTAACCTCAAAACCCCAAAATCTTACGAATGCAAGCGGAAAGTATAACAAAGAGCCAGGTACCGGCTGGAAGCTCGAGGTCGTCTCGTCTGCCATCACTCCGCCGGGCTTTGCCAGGGCGGCCGTGAAGTTCGCCCAGAGAAAGTGCGAGAAGAGCCTTGAGAGGGTCAGGGGGTTTAGGGTTTAGGGTGTGTATTTTAAAAAAAGTATATATATATATATATAGATATATATATATATATATATATATAAGGTTTAGGCTTCGAGGTTTGGGGGTTCGGTTCAGGGCTTAGGGTTTAGGCTTCAGGATGTAGGCTTCAGGGTTTGCCCGCCGCTTGGAGATGAGTTAATGTTACGAGACGCCCCGGCTCATTACACGCATCCAGTGCAAGAAGCTTTCGGGAGGAGCGGAACTTGCAGCAATCCCTGATCTCTCTTCGGCAACATCGAGTCCATCCTGCGCCCCTTTTTTAGCTCAAACGCCCAACTCACCTTTAGTTCGGTCAGCAAACTCGTTGACCTGCCGAGCAGCAGATCCAAGCTGTCCATGCGATGCGCCGTGAAAAGCCGCTCCTAGGACTTTGCGTTATTTTGGGAGGCTTTCGGGGCTCAGGAGTCTGTAGAAGCCTGCTTAGAACCGGTTACTACAGGTGTTTTAAGGGCCTGTGGAGTCTAGGTTTGGGATGTTAGGTGCTTTGGGCCTAAACAAGACTGGCGGGCTTTCAATGGCATCAATGGGCGAGTCATGACGAGCGACTGATTCTAAACCATTCACCGCACCCTGCAGAAACTGGTGGCGTGTTCAGCCACATAAAGCTCTCCACTGAAGCGTACACTGCAAATCCACGTCGCAGACCCGACCGGAATATCAGAAACGAACCACAGCAGTCGGCACATTCATGAAATCTCCGGAAGGAGGACGAAAGGCGAAATGCTGGCCATGATCACCAAGGCTCGTAGAGATCATCCATGCTGCGGGCGTTCGCAGCCTCTTCTAGCGTCACCTGCACCAAGTCGAGGTCAGCCATGGAGATCCGATGTATGAAGATATTTATATACATGTATACATACATATATATATATATATACATACATACATACATATACATATATATATATATATAAATTCATCCACACAGCCAAAGGCAACGCTTATATACATATGTATATGTGTATATATATATATATACGGATGTACATAAAGCACAGAAAATGCAGAGCTCCTGAACCCTCCCAGAGGCATTTGAAGCTAAGCGGCCTCGCCGTAGACCGAGGCGTAGAGATTCGCATCCGACTCCAGAGCTTCCAGGGGAATATCCTCTGGGAACCTCGAATTCTTGGGTTTAGGGATTAGGGATTGGGGTTTAGGGTTTTGGGGTTTAGGGATTAGGGTTTAGGGTTTAGGGATTAGGGTTTAAGGTTTAGGGGTTTAGGGATTAGGGTTTAGGGTTTTAGGGATTAGGGCTTGGGGCTCTTTTTGCAACACTTTTTTCCGCCGACCGAAGCAGCGATGAGTCTCTAGGACCAAGTCGTTTAGGATTTAGGGTTTGGGGTTGGGGCTTAGGGTTTAGAGTGTTCAGAGGCTAAGGATGATTCCCCGAATTGAAAGCAATCTCGTAAAAGGTTCCAAACTCGACGGGCCCTGCAGGGTCCAGTTGATGCTAGGCATAGTCAAGGCAGGCTGGTGACGACTTGTGAAGACCAGGACAAGGTCCGCCAAGCAACGGGCCCCGCCCCTCAACCCTAAACCCTAAACCCGGTACGCCTAAACCCAAACACCCTACTAGAACACTCCTAACGACCTCAACCCCAAAAGGCTTTCTCACAGAGACCGGGCGGCTTCAGAGCTCCCGTAAGCAAGGCGTCCAGCAACGCGATGGCCGCGGCCGTGGTGCGGGCATCCGAGAACTGGGCCACAGGGGCCTGAAGGGTTTAGGGATCACGATTTAGGGTTAGGGTTCAGGGCTGTAGGTGTTCAGGGCTGTAGGTGTGGAGTTTAGTTTAGGGTTTCCGGGTTTAGGGCTAAGCATGTGCTTGGGGGTTTTGCGTGGCACACAGGCCCAAGGCATAGGCAACATCAGCAAGGCTAGAGCCTTCTTTTGCAGGCGCCGAGAATGCTAGCACTTTCCCAGCTTTGGTCGAAACTCTAAACCCTAGACCCTAAAGCCACACCCCTTAGCCACGCCTCACCCCCGAGAAGCAACAAATCCGCAACCCCCGAAACCCGAAACACCGGTGTGAACGACTGCCTGGCCGCAACTGCAGCATCGAAGCATGATAAGTTATGATACACTACAACACATTCTACCATACCATAAATATCTAATGTTATTTTGCAATATACATATATATATATATATATACATACAATATAGATATATCATATTATATATATATATATATATTCATATACATAGTACAGCTCGTAAATCTCAGCTCTGGGCCGTGAGCGCCGGGCTCTCTGCCTCCTTGGCCTCCCGACGCTTCGGAGGGTCAAAGGGTTTGAAGGGCTTGGAAAACGCTCGATTCGGTTTTCTGGGCTTTGGAGTTTCGGGTTTAGGGTGTAGGGCTTAGAAGTTTAGGTTTTGGTGTTTAGGGCCCCAGGTGAAATCGAAGATCCATGGCACGAATACCTGTCAGCATAATGCTGGCAGGAGCTGGGACGAGACGGTCAAGGGACTCTACCGCCCTTATAGCCGCCCTTCTAGCAGCCTTTAGCAGCCCTTACCTCAGAGTGATCCGTCTTTTTTTGAGCCCTTGGAATGATTTTAAAACAACCCCCCTCTGAGCTCAGGCCTTCATGCTCCGGAGTTGAGCTGCCACCTACAGAGACGAGGGACACAGAAGGGAGCTTGTGGATTTGGGGAGGTTTGAGGGTTTGGGGCAGGTTTAGGGCTTTAGGGGATTTCAGAGTTTGGAGCTTTGGGTGTTTAGGGGCGAAGAGGGCATTTTGACTTTAGAGTTCAGATTTACGAAGTTCGGAGTCAAGAGATTTGGGATCTGTGATCTTTCCTGCAAGAAGCTCCCCGTGCTTCTGATGTCCAGGGTTTAGTGTACAGGGTTTCTTTAGTGTATATGGCTCTAGAGGATTTAGGGTGCCCTTTGGTCACGGCCTTTCCCTCACAAGCTGGGCAGTTTGTAGCTGAGACGAAGCTTCGCCTCAGACCCCTGAGATGATCCAAGGCACCTCAAAGGCTGATACAGACTACCTATTGTACGGCACAGGAAAGTATAGACAAGTACAAGGTGGCAGAGTGGAGAATAGTATTGTCCCATCCATTACACTATGTAATGATATGTAATACTACACAGTATAATATTACATAGCAACCCTTGACCTCCAGAGCCGCCACGGACGTGGGATCCGCCAAGAGATCAGGGCGGAGACGTAAGGCGCCACGGCGGACGTCGCCGAGGGAAAGCACAGCCTGGGTTATGGCTATAGAAAACTTGAACTAAGCCACTAGAATAAGGAAACCCGATTATTCACCATATATCCCCATCATGGTAACTCAAGTTCAGTTACCATAAGAAGGAAACGCTGTGCTATTATGTAATATATGTATGTCCCATAGTTATGGTAAATTTAAACTCCTTAACATCAATCCAGCAGCGGAGTGCGTCCGAACAGGGAGCTTCCCAATCAGGACGTCGTGGAGGGACAGCATCCTCGGTGCTTGTGGGTGGGTTGGACAGACACGGCTGTTTCGTCTACTGCTACACCTAGTGGGCATATGCTTCTCGATACGATTCGATTGCTGGGTTCATCATGATGACTCTGATGACCGTTGTGGTCTGGGCGGATGCCCGTTGTGAAGAGAGCCGAAGCACTTCTGGGCTGGTGCCATGAGCCAGCCCTGTGCCTGAATGGCATCCGTAGCGTTGGCGGCGAGGTGACGGTCCAGCACGGAGAGGTACCTTAGAGCCTTAGGGTTTGGGGCTTAGGGGCTCCCGCCCTATGATTGTGCCTGTCTTCCCCAGCACAAAAACAGAAACAGAGTCAACGTCCAAGCTGCATTGACCCGATTCGCAGGCCCTGCCCGCCGAGAATTACGATCTCACTGATCGGCACGGGCGACAGGGCTGGGCTGACCCACGTCTGCTCCAAGAGATCCACATAACGCAGATACACTGACCAGTATTCTTCAACATTGTGACGGCCTCGGAGAATAATTGGGAAAGCTGCATGCCCATCCATGGGCAGGTCACGCGAGAGCCAAAGCTTTTCGACAATGACCGGCTGCTCCACGAAACGTATGTACCTGAAGAGCTTGCAAATCGCAACGTCAGTCGGAAAGCCAACAGCCCAGAAAAGCTACTCATGCGGTCAATCCGAGCGAAGTGGGGCACACGATGGATGCTTGCACCTCCAAGTGGACCTTTGCCTGAGCTCAGGCTTCCAAGAGTTCCTCCATGCTCCATGACCCCTGAATCTAAACCCTAACCCGAACCTCTAAATCCTAAACCCCAACCCCTAAACCCTAAACCCCAACCGCTAGATCCGAAACCCCAACCCCTAAACCCTGAGCCCTAAACCCTAACCACTAGATCCTAAACCCCTAAACCCCAACCCCTAAACCCAAAGCCTTAAACCCAAACCTCCAAATCCTAGAC